GTTCATCCATTGTCTCAAGCACTTTTGTACATTTGTTGCCATCATCATTCTCAAAACATTTACTTTCTACTTGAGCCTTTGTTATCAGCTCCTTATTTTACCCCCTCCCTGAATACTCTTTAGAGTATCGCAGAGTAACGTTGTTACCTGGTTAAGGAAGTTTTATTGTGCTAACCTGCTTGATAAACACATGTGTTAATTGAAGGGTGGAGGGGTAAATTGCTCAGTGTGCCTCACTTTTGGGTCTCTTGCTTTGTGATGGTCGGACCAGGGTGCAGTTCCCTGCTTCAGCTTGCATGACTTCCTACAAGAAATCCATTCCCAAGTAGAAGCTACAGGGACTTACCGCAATGCAGCCCTAGGTGCTGGAGCACCCATGTGGAGACCCCTGCCAGCGCTGAGATGCTTACACAATCACTGCAGTCGGCATCACTGTGTGTTTTGTGAGATGGAGGAGGACTTTGTGGACTGGTGTAGGACATAGAGGTTAATGTTGGACTTGTGGGCTTAGGCAGCACTGGGTTGGGATGTTTTCTTGATGCTCACTTAACCTCTGTATAAAACACTCTTATACATGAGTTTCTTTGGATTTGTTTCTCTAAAGTACACACTGGTCGTTACCTCATATGCATGTGAAAATTGGACACCAAATAAGGAAGATTAAGGAAGAATTGATGCATTTGAATTGTGTTGGAGAAGAATATTGAAACTACCATGGACTACTAAAGGGACAAACCGGTTTGTGTTGGAAGAAGTAAGGCCAGAGTGCCTTCCTTAGAGACGTATTTTGTTCATATTGTCAGTAGGAGAGACCAGTCTCTAGAGGACACCATAATTGGCAACATGGAAGGGCAGTCAAGTAGCGGAAGACCCTCACCAGGATGGATTGACACAGTAGCTGCAATCCATAGGATTGCTCAGTCATAGGAGCAATTGTGAAATGGCGCAGGACCATGCAGTGTTTCCTTCTGTTGTGTATAGGGTTGCTATGGGTTGGAGCCGACTCAATGGCATCTAACGTGTGCCTTAGAGCATTAAAAGTAAAACCAAAAGAGGATTATTGAGGGACAGAGGCTGTACAGTCAGGCAAGCCGTTCAGATTGAGGAAGACAGTGAGGAAGAAAACATGTTTCCACAGTTGGAGCATTAAACTAAAAGTTACGAAGTCACAAGGCTGAAAGACGATCGGGGAGTCAGAGGAGAAATATAAGAGAGCAGAAACTTGGCAGGGATAGGTGGATAACATGTTAGACGGTAGGTAAAACGTTTTGTTCCCAAATCCATAGAAACCTTTATAAAACATCTATCAAAATGTAAAGATACTGTTTCTGGTCTATAAACTTCTGAAGGTGGTGTTTCCATCTCTGTACCACTTCAAACCTAAGTTTGGGCATCCTTTGGGATTCAGCTCCACCTCCTTTTGAGTGTTCTTTTAAATGTAAGGTTCCCCAACATTTTCATAGAACAGTCTTTGCTATCCTGAAAGAATGAGCAGGCACACTGTTGTGATAGGAAAAAATTCTTAGCATGCCTTTGCATTTTCTCACCAGTGCAGGTTTCAATTCTCTTAAAAATTCCTTTCTAACAAACTCTCAAGATAGTCCTGTGTCCTTTGAGACAATCAAAATCACCCCTTAGAATTAAAAAAAAAAAAGTTGCCATAATCCTCTGAACTGACTTCTTTGCCTTGAATTGAACTGGCCCAGCAGATCCCCTTGTAAGCCACTATTTTGTGTGGACCCTACTCTCTCTCTCGGTCATATTGGCAAACAGAAGACTCGTCCCTGGTTAGGATTCTTTGCGAAAAATCATCTTCATTGGTGTTGATATTGCTTCAAAGACTTATGGGAAGATCAGCTCTTCCAGGAAGTTGATCTTGACACAATGCATTTGACATTCGTCGAACTGAAATGTCTTGAAAATCCTGAGCTGTGGGGGGAAGGGAAGAGGTGTTAACAAACCCAGGGACAAGGGAACAACAAGCGATCCAAATTGGTGGGGAGGTGGG